AATTATTTGATCAACAAGTAATCTCTCATACCTTTGAGCGTTCAAATATTCTTCAAAAAAAAACGGCCCTATTAAATAGCCATCTATCTTATATGGATGGAACTTGTTCTTCTTTAAAATTCTCCAAACCGACATGGGAGCAATATCGTGAGTTTGAGCGACTCTCTGAACACTAGAATTGGGATCTTCAATAAATGTCTGCAGAACATCAAGTTGTTTTTCTTCGTTGGTTGCAGACAATGGTCTTCCTGACTTAGAGCGATTTCTTACGCTACCAGTTTGTCTAAAACGTTCTATTGTTTTTAACACAGTGGACTTATTAATTCGACGGTTCGGATACGTGTCATTAAATAATCGAACGACATCAGAGAACGATCTTTCGTTATCACCCCATCCACGCATCATGAGGATAGTGATTCTTTCACGTTCCGACAAGTCGCCAGCCATTTTTAAAACGTTTAATTTTAATTAATCGTACGTTGTATTTGGACGATAACAATTAATTTCTGCTTGCTCAAAGCTGAAGTTAGAAGGTGCTCGTTCTTTGATAGCTTTATACATTCTTAGTTGAATTTTAAATGCGAGTTAGACTGCATGTAGTGCGTCACATAGCGGTAAATGAAGGAACTAACGAGACGTTTCATACACGTTTTATGGAGCAATTTTTTGGCAATTTGACTTCAGCGAAATATGAGGATATGTTGAGGAATCGATCTTGCCTTAGTTAGCTGGATCACACACACAACAGATGCAAATCCGAGCGAGTAACCTCCATGTAGTACACCTTGGATAATGTTAATACCGGCGCTACTCTATCATTCAACCCTCATAACTCGCAAAGTACTTAATAAAAATGAACATTATTATAGTGTTTTGGAAAGCTCTTGAATTAAGCTATAAGAATATGCAATCAAATGTAGGGGGTGTCATTTAAAAAAGTCAATGTGACCTTGACCTGACCTTGACGACGCCATCCAAGGTCAAACTGATAGAATCAGTATATAGATCTTCTTAAACCCTACAACTTTTGTTGGAAACACTTTTCTGTAAAACGTATATTTTCCGAGATATTTAGGGGTTTCCACACTTTTGGTAGACCCTGTATAATTGTATATATTGTGTATTTTTTAAATTCTTTTAAATTTTGTTCGTACATTATCTTTTACACATTTATATTTTAAATTCTTTTAAATTTTTCTTACAATATCTTTTTTTTTACACACTTTATATAATATACATTTATATTTTAAATTCTTTAAAATTTCTTTTACATACTATGTATAATACTCATTTATATTTTGTATATTTTAAATTCTTTTGCACACTATATATAATACACATTTTATTTTATTTTATTAAAAATTAATTAATTAATATAAAAAAATCTTATTTATTTTCCAAATTTCTCTCTCTCCCTCTCTTTTCATTGCTCCATTTATTACTAAATTATAAGAAAACTATTAAAAAATTATAAAAAAAATATTTATTAAATATCAAAAAAATATTTTTATTGCGTGATATCTCTTCTCTCACGTGCGCCATATCACTCCTTCTGTCTCTTTCTTTCTTTCCTAATGTTTGCTCTCTCATGATAATTCTCTCGCAAGGAGCTATGCATGAAAGCTGGGACGGGAGAGCACGCCAAACGCAAAGAAAGTGACACCATGATATAGATTTATAATGCTATTTATTCTGCTTATATATTTAGTATACAAATATAATTTTTGTCTTACATATTAAGAATTAAAAGCTAAAGCTGCCAACTCGCAATCGACGAGTTGATGCTTGTTGAAAACATCACTCGTGCGTATTACATATGATACTTCTTTCGGATCCGTTACAGTGGACGCGATATTGCAGAATTGCGTAAATTTGACATCAACTGTTTGGATAATTTTATCTAATCGATCAAAAGTTACATCTATGCATTGATCAAGATCGAACATACGATGTAACGTCGATTCGACCATCATCATGCGTACATCCGAAGATTCGAGACTTATGAGTTTGACGTCGTTAATCGTACGAACTCTCACTGTTAGCGGTCCAACGCTTATGAAATTGTAGTCATCTTTAGAGTTGTTCTGAAGTAAATTTTGAATATTGCGACGTTGCTCGTAGAGTCCTTTCCACGTTTCGAGAGATAATATCAGTTCCTTCCCTCGATGATCTCCTATGGCAATCTCCACGTAACTCGGTGGACCCACGTTGATACCAATTTCGAGGAATTTGAATTCCGTAGCTGTCAATGCGAATCGTCTACCTAGTATACGAGTCGCACGACGCTCCAACGAAATGCTATAGAAAAATTAAATAATAGTAATAAAATTATAAAAATAGAAAAAAAGTTAAATGAAATTTACTCGTCACATTTGTTCTCAAACGATGAAGTTTTATTACGACTCGACACGTAATTATTATTCACGCGTCTTCCGACGTCGCTGCCACTACTGCTTCTTTCGACGTAGTACATTTCTTTGAAGGTTATGAAAAGTGAACCACGAGCGGTTAACGCGAGACTGATCATACAGGAATTAACCGGGTATAAGTGACGCTCATCTTCCAAAAGTATAATGTGGTGGGGGAGTCAATGCTTCTAACGCTTTGAATTTTAAGAAAAGGGTGAAATAACGCTCAGATAAAATATTCTTAGAAACGCAAGGATAGGTCTAGGGAGGGGGGAAGGAAAAGATAAAACACATATTAATGTTTACATATTTGTTTTATTTTCTTGCAATTCTTTCTGGCGTTGCGACCACCAGTTAAATATTTTAAATACATTTTGTAATGCGCAATTCTTAACATGTTTTCCACATCGCATGCTATTGATAATATCTAATTTATCTAAAGCATCAATATCTTCGTAATCTGCATCCAAGGTTTCAATAATATAGCCATTCCTCGCATCGTCTAGTATATTAAAAAAAATTATTTTTAATAAAAAATTGCTGTATTAAAAAAAATTGTGTAAAATAGTTGTCTTAATTATCTACAAAAATTAATGATATATTTAAATAGAAAATTGCGTCGAGAATAAAAGAGTGCGATTTTATTTTACATTTATCAACATTGTGTGTGTGTTAGATGTGATTGACTAATGATAAATAATTAGATGATGAAAAATTATGTTTATATTTTCGTCGAAAGTTATTACATCTTTGTCGTAAAAGTCAGAATCCTGATTCAACGATGAATAGTTGATTCATGTTGCTCGTATGTATTAATCTGCATTTGTATTGATTACGTATTGTTTTGACAAAATTTGTCACACGGAAAAATGCGTACTAGAAGTCAATCCGCACATCTAACAACGTCTACTAATGTAAAGTGAAATTGGTTTAATTTCTTATAAGAAAATATTTAAATTTAAATATTTATTTTAAAAAATAAATAATTAAAAATTAATAAAATTTAAAATTAAAAAAAATTTAATTATTAGAAAACTCGACGCTGCTGAATAATATACTAATTAATGAATCAACTATTCATCGTTAAATCAGGATTCTGACTTTTACGACAAAGATGTAATAACTTTCGACGAAAATATAAACATAATTTTTCTTCATCTAATTATTTATCAGCAGTCAATCACATCTAACACACACACAATGTTGATAAACGTAAAATAAAATCGCATCTTTTATTCTCGACGCAATTTTCTATTTAAATATATCATTAATTTTTGTAGATAATTAAGACAACTATTTTACACAATTTTTTTTAATACAGCAATTTTTTATTAAAAATAATTTTTTGTAAAATAGTTTTATACAATAATTTTTTACTACTGAGATGACTCGACTTCTTTTTTTTTACCTTTTTTTGAAAAGGTAATTTTTGTAGGATATTACTAATTTTTGTAGACTATTTAGAAATAACTATTTTGCACATTAATTTCATTTAATGTAACATTTTTGTAGTTTAAATAATACTATGTCTTGTGCATAAAACAGTTTCTTACAATATAAAATATATATAATATAAATTTTTTTACATTTTAATACTGACACATGATTAACTTTTTTTTACTTTCTAAAAAAGTAATTTTTCAGGATAATCATAAATTTTTGATGTTATAAAAAATGTATTTTAATTCTCTTGCTGAAAAATTTTTGTAAGTTTTATTGTTCAAAATTAAAATGAACATTCGAGTTCGAAAAACGCATATCGAAGTTCGCATCTTTTCGCTAATAAATTACGAGAATTTAAAATTAACGGGCGTCGAGAATCTTCTCGAAATATCTGTTATTAGGAAAAAACCTCGAACGCTCGAGTTTTCGTTTTTTTTTGCCACCAGAAAAAACGCGCGTTATTACCGCTGACAATATTATTGTCAACCGCCGTCAAAATTACTCCGCTCATGGGCATGCGCGCCCATGCGTCACGATCAGCTGATCGCCAATCAGCTGATCTAAAAGGATTGCGCACACGAAAAACAAACGACATCCATCGTGAGACGTCATTAACGACCAATGGCACACGCCGCAACAGTGTCACCGCTAAATTATGAAATTAATTGGTCCACGTCGAAGCGGGCCCAAAATCCGCTCGCTTTATAATGGGCACCGCGCGTGGACCAAGCAAGTCTTGCACTTTTCGAAGTCTCGTACTTATCGCTGCTCGCAGTATTTCAAACCGCTTAGAAAACCGCATTGTTCAACCGCAAATTACGTCGACCGCTTTCTTTCTCGGACTTTTCTTTACTCTTTCTGTGCCTAAAATACATGTACATTTTTTTGGTGTAAATTATTAATTGTGTGGTTTAAAATAAAAAATCAAAATCAAAAAAAGAATTACGTGTCGTGTGAAGTTTTGTGTCAAATACTTTGTTCGCGACTATCCGTCTGCCGCGTCTTCAAAATCTCGCGCTGTCGCAGCAATCCGCGCTCACTCGCGAACATTTTTGGTCCTTCGAGCCGGATTATATCTGCATCCGCAGTTTCGTGGGTGACATTTCCAGTGCTGTGCAGTGCTGAAACAGACAAACAAATAAGTGACCAATGAGTGCCGACCTGAAGGCCTTGTTAGAGGCTCAGACCGACATCCACGGACGAATGTCTCGCTCCGTGGATAACCTCCGGAAGATGGGCATCACCAACATCACCGCAGGTGCCATCCAGGCTCGCCTCAGCATCCTCGACAACCTCTGGGCGAAATTCGAGGCTCAACATGAGCTGATACGAGCGGCGCTTAAAGACAGATACATGGAGAGTGAGTACGCCAAAAGTGACTTTGTAGACACCGCGGAATGTACGTACGTTTCTCAGCGAAGCACGTTGAGCGACTATGCTGACAGGCTGAGCGCCGAGTCAGGTGTCGCACACCGAATCGAGCCGAAGTCGGAGTCTTCTCCTAAAACCGCGTTGCCTCGTATAAAATTGCCGCCGTTCTCAGGCGCCTATGAAGATTGGCCTTCCTTCCGGGATCTCTTCTTGTCTCTCGTGGGAGAAAATTCGTCGATCTCAAACATTGAGCGGTTCCACTATCTTCGCTCCTGCGTCAAAGGATCTGCGGAGAAGTTAATTAGGTCATTAACTGTCACAAGCGAGAATTACGATCGCGCGTGGGCAATCCTGGCTAAACATTTTGAAAATAAAAGGGAACTCATGCGTTTAAATTTCTCTACCTTCTCTGCCGTCGGAAAGATGAAGTCTGAGTCCGCTGAAGAGCTGAGTCGCGTCCATCACGCTGTCACGGCCACCGTCAACGCGCAGGAGAGTATAGGAAGACCCATCCACTCGCATGGGATGGATCTCCTCAATCACCTGGTGATTGAGTTGTTCGACTCGCGAACACGTCTCGAGTGGGAATCTTCCACGAGCGATTCTCTCGACCCGCCAACGCACGAGGCTCTCGTAAACTTCATGAGCAAAAGAATCCTTACCTTAAACGCCGCTAAACCGAAGAACGCCACGAAGAACGCTGGGGAAACCTCACGGTCCGCTAAGTCTCACTTCGTGAGGAACGGGTTCGACGCTTCCAAGTGCGTCGCGTGCAAGGGCAAGCACACACTCATGCAGTGCCCTGAGTTCAAGGCCAAGTCCGCGAGCGAAAGAAAGTCATTCGTCGACACAAGCGGGCTCTGTTTTAATTGCCTCGGAAATCACGTGATGGCGAAATGTCAGTCCGTCAAAACGTGCTTTACTTGCAAATCGCGGCACCACACATTGTTGCACGACGCGTACGCGACACCAACATCGACACACGAGGCAAGCACTTTTTCAACCACACACACTGCACACGATCACAAGGCGACTCTTCTCGCCACGGCGCGCGTCATCCTCAACGACCGCTCGGGACAACCTCACGACGTGCGAGCTCTGCTCGATCAAGGATCCGAGGTGTCTCTCGTCTCAGAAGATTTAGCTCAGCGCCTGCGGTTGGCGCGCACTCGCTGCTCAATGTCGGTAATCGGTGTTGGAGCACGGTCAGGATCCACGCGCGGAAGGATCACGCTCGTATTAAAGTCCAAGACGACTGGAGCATACCTCACTGTAGTCGCCTACGTCCTTCCAAGGTTGTCTTCCTACCAGGGGCCAGCAGTTCGGGACTCCACCACGTGGAGGCACATTCACGGCCTCACTTTGGCAGATCCACACTATCTGCAGCGAGACCCGATTCATCTTCTCCTCGGCGCCGATGTCTTTTCCTCCATCCTTCTCGATGGACTCCGAAAGGGTCGCGAGGACTAACCCGTCGCGCAGAGGACGACTTTCGGGTGGATCTTGTCAGGAGGCTGCGGAGTGGTGACATCTAATGGCGTCGTCAGCTCCCTCCAGTGTGCTCTCGACCAAGACCTGAACGATCTGGTTCTAAGATTTTGGGAGCAAGAACGGGAACAGCCTGCTTCCGTCGCCCTCACACCAGATGAAGAACGATGCGAAGAAATCTTCAGTCGCACTCACGAGCGCCAAGGAGACGGGAGGTACCAGGTACGACTGCCGCTGGCTGGCTCTCTGCCACCTCTCACCCATACACGAAAGTCCGCCGAGCGACTTCTCGCGGCAATGGAGCGACGTCGTTCCAGAGACGATGACTTCGACATGCTCTACTGCGACTTCCTAGAAGAATATGCTAAATTGAAGCACATGACTTTGATCAATACACCGCTTGTGAGCAATACACCAGTATGCTACTTACCGCATCACGGAGTGCTCCGAACTGCGAGCAAGACCACCAGATTGAGGGTTGTCTTCAATGGATCCCAATGCACGCCTGCCGGAGACTCCCTCAACAAGAGTTTACTGGTCGGAGCCAACCTTCTACCAACTCTCGCTGATGTCCTGCTTCGCTGGCGTTGGCACCGTTTCGTCTTCGTAGCTGACATCGAAAAGATGTACAGGCAGATTCTCGTGCACCCCGAAGACCGAGACTTGCAGCGGATCCTGTGGAGACGGCAAGGCACCGACAACATCCAGGAGTATCAGCTCAACACCGTGACGTACGGATTGGCCTGTGCTCCTTTCCTGGCGATCAGAACTCTTCGCCAATTAGCCGACGACGAAGAGCCCGGAAATCCCAAGGGGGCTGTAGTTCTGCGGCGCGACTGCTACGTTGATGACATCGTCACCGGTGCCAGTACTCTGTCGGAGGCAGTCGAAACGCAGAAGCAGTTACGCCGGCTCTGCATGGCGGGCGGGTTCCCGTTGAGGAAGTGGGCCTCAAATCACGAGACCATCCTCGAGGACATCCCAAGGGAGCATCAACTCCAGCAGCCTCATCACGACTGGGAGGACGACGCTCATCCAACGCTGGGCCTGCGATGGCACCCCCGCAGCGACTTCTTCACGTTCCGCCTTCAGCCTCGCGCAACTGGACCGTTGACGAAGCGACAGGTCTTGGCAGAGACGGCTCGGATCTTCGACCCTCTAGGTTGGTTAACTCCAGTCGTTGCTCGTGCCAAGATTCTCATTCAGTCAGCCTGGATGAAGCACCTGGATTGGGACTCCCCACTGCCTAAGACAGATGAGACTTTATGGAGACGCCTCCTTGACGACCTTCCGCTGTTGGAGCAGCTTCGGCTAAAACGATGGCTGAATACTGACGAGCGGCCACAAGTTGAGTTCCACGGGTTTGCTGACGCATCGGAGCGAGGTTACGCAGCAGCCGTCTACCTCCGCGTGGCGGGCTCCTCCGCTTCAATCAGTAGTCTGCTTGTTGCAAAAAGCAAGGTTGCACCCATTAAGCCCGTGTCTCTACCGCGTTTAGAATTGTGCGCCGCAGTGCTAGTCACTAACCTGACTTCCCATCTCCGCAAGACCTTAGGCTTGGTTTCAGCTCCAGTCACCTTATGGTCGGATTCCCGGGTGACTCTCCAATGGATCCAGGGTCATGCCTCCAGATGGAAGACTTTCGTGGCCAACAGGGTGTCCCACATCCAGACGAAGCTTCCAGAGGCACGATGGCGACACATCCCAGGACGAGTCAACCCCGCCGACTGCGCTTCTCGAGGGATTGAGCCACGGGATCTTCTCAACCACTCTCTATGGTGGACGGGACCCCCATGGCTCGTCGAGGATCCGTCGCTCTGGCCACAGAACGACCACGCCACCCACGACGTCGAGGCGCCGGAGACGCGAGCAATCACCTCTCACTTGACGTCTGCACGGAGGACCGAACCGGAGATGCTCATCAGGTTCTCCGACCTCCATCGCCTCCTGAGAGTCACAGCTTGGTGTTGCCGATGGAGAGGCAACCCACCGAGCTCCAAGGCTCACCTCAACCTCACGGCCGACGAGTTGGAGGCGGCTCTGCTCCGTTGGCTCCGCTTGGTGCAATCTCACCACTTCTCCAAGGAGATCACCGCTCTAAAACAGAAAAAAGGGTTAGTCAAGGGTCAGCTAGCTAATTTGACCCCCTTCCTCGACATCCATGGAATCCTTCGAGTTGGGGGCCGGCTGAAGCACGCAGTGCTCTCAGAGGATGAGCGCCACCCAATCATCGTACCTTCAGATTCGTGGCTGACACATCTTCTCGTCAGGGCTCACCACAGACGAACTCTCCACGGCGGGGTCCAGCTCACTCTCGGCCTGCTCCGCCTACGGTATTGGATTCCTCGAGGTCGCTCCATCGTCAAGAGGGTCATCCACCGATGCGTAACGTGTGCAAGATGGAAGGCTGCAGTGCCGCAGCCCATGATGAGCGACCTTCCGACGGCGCGAGTCGCTCCAGCACGTCCATTCTTGCGGACTGGAGTCGATTACGCCGGGCCGATCCTGATCCGAACCACCAAGGGGAGAGGACACAAATCGCTCAAAGGCTTCATCGCCGTTTTCATCTGCCTCACTACCAAGGCCGTACACCTGGAAGCCGCGTCGGATTATTCCACGGACGCATTCCTCGCTGCATTCCGGCGCTTCACCTCCCGTCGGGGCCTCTGCGAGGAGGTCTACTCGGATTGCGGCACAAATTTTGTCGGCGCCAACCGAGAATTGCGACTCCTGTTCCAGGCGTCGTCATCCGACGGCCGGCGCATCGCCCACACAGCAGCGTCCAATGGAATACGGTGGAGATTCAATCCGCCGGCGGCACCTCACTTCGGCGGGTTTTGGGAGGCAGCGGTGAAGTCCACCAAACACCACCTGCGAAGAGTTCTAGGCGACACGACCCTCACCTTCGAGGAGATGTCGACATTCCTCGCTCAGGTGGAGGCGTGCCTCAACTCTCGTCCACTTCAGGTGCCATGACGACTTAACGGCGCTCACTCCGGGTCATTTTCTAATCGGGGCTCCTCTGCTGGCAGTGCCCGAACCTTTGCTGGCAGACGTCAACGTCAACCTCTTGTCCCGCTGGAAACTTCTCCAACGGATGCGCGACCACTTTTGGGAAAGGTGGTCGCGGGAGTACATCAACTCACTGGCTTCCCGACCAAAGTGGTTGAAGGACACAGCAAGTCCCGCCGTCGGCGGACTGTGTCTAGTGCGGTCGGACATCACTCCACCAACCCGATGGCCACTCGCTAGGATCACCAAGCTGCATCCTGGGGACGACGGCGTGACGCGCGTGGTCACTGTACGCACCGCATCTTCGGAGCTTGTCCGGCCTCTCATCAAGATCGTCCTCCTGCCTGGAGCCGACACCGCAGCATCAACACGCCCGGATTCGTGAGCGAAACAGAGCACCGTGTTTTATTCATAGTTTATTTTTTTTTTTGCAAAATTGTCCGTCCACGGAATTGTTTATCACGGCCGTCGTGCGCTACTTCCGATAATCGCGCCGCGCGCTATCACATTCATCAACACATTTTTTATATCACTGCCGAGCCGCTTCATTAACTCTTCTTTCTTCGGACTCCGCGTCAAAATCAACTTTCACTGCACTCACAAAATCAGTCACAGTATCACTTCATATACCTCACATACACCGCACTACTTATTCTCGCGAAAGACTTATCACAACTATTTAACACGTGTCTTCTCTTTACGTCACTTCGCATTCCATTCATCACTCATTTCACATCTCTCAATAGCACAGTTCGCGACACCTGTTTGTAACCGCACACACTCGAAAATTTCGTCACGTACTGACGAGGCGGGCGGGATGTTCAAAATTAAAATGAACATTCGAGTTCGAAAAACGCATATCGAAGTTCGCATCTTTTCGCTAATAAATTACGAGAATTTAAAATTAACGGGCGTCGAGAATCTTCTCGAAATATCTGTTATTAGGAAAAAACCTCGAACGCTCGAGTTTTCGTTTTTTTTTGCCACCAGAAAAAACGCGCGTTATTACCGCTGACAATATTATTGTCAACCGCCGTCAAAATTACTCCGCTCATGGGCATGCGCGCCCATGCGTCACGATCAGCTGATCGCCAATCAGCTGATCTAAAAGGATTGCGCACACGAAAAACAAACGACATCCATCGTGAGACGTCATTAACGACCAATGGCACACGCCGCAACAGTGTCACCGCTAAATTATGAAATTAATTGGTCCACGTCGAAGCGGGCCCAAAATCCGCTCGCTTTATAATGGGCACCGCGCGTGGACCAAGCAAGTCTTGCACTTTTCGAAGTCTCGTACTTATCGCTGCTCGCAGTATTTCAAACCGCTTAGAAAACCGCATTGTTCAACCGCAAATTACGTCGACCGCTTTCTTTCTCGGACTTTTCTTTACTCTTTCTGTGCCTAAAATACATGTACATTTTTTTGGTGTAAATTATTAATTGTGTGGTTTAAAATAAAAAATCAAAATCAAAAAAAGAATTACGTGTCGTGTGAAGTTTTGTGTCAAATACTTTGTTCGCGACTATCCGTCTGCCGCGTCTTCAAAATCTCGCGCTGTCGCAGCAATCCGCGCTCACTCGCGAACATTTATTTTTTAAAAAACTTTTTTAACTATTTTTGTTTTTCACATCATCGAATTACATATTATTTATTTAGCTATTTTCTGTAAAAAAAGTAAATAAACATCTTTAGCACCTCTAGGCCACTGCTTCTTTTTAATTTGAGCATCATTAGCCTCAATCCAAATATTAGATGTTCCTTCTCTGCACATACTTGTATAATGACCTTCATCAATACTTGAGCCATGATAAAATACAGCATTCATTACTTTATACAATTGCTTATCTATTGATACTTTAGTCGTTGGAATAGCACATAAATTTAAATTGTCTCTTAATTTATCATTCTGTAATGAAAACAATATAAAATGAATGACAATCTCTTTTATTAATATTATTTCCCTTTTTAATAATATATTTTTTTCGCTACAATGTTCGCAGGATTCGTTATGCAATTGATACCAACGTGAAAACGTAATATTTAATAAATCATTCAGATTATACTTATTCTTTTTCAAATTATTAATAGGAATAGAAATAATAATATTATTATCAACAATAGTTTTTGTATCACCACAAGTTTTGCATCGTCTTATAGAAGTTATTTGATGTCTTACTAGAGTTTTTATACAATCATATTTTTCGCAAAGAGCTATAAAAAAATCTGATGCATTTCGTTTTAGAGAACTGAAAAATATTCTCCTAAACATTGCTGTATTGCATACGTATTTAGATTATGCATTCTATTTTCATATTGATGCATTAACATACGTAAAACATCTGACTTTTCACAATAAAGCAATTGCTGTCTAATAGCATTTAAGTTCAATATACATTGCACTACTGCATTTGCGTAACATGAAACCTTATCTATATTTTGGAAACCATGTATAATCCAACCAGTACTTCGCTGTACTTCTGATTCTTGAATAGAAGTAATTACTTTTGGTAACGCCCATAAAATATCTTTTACTTTGTGATAGGCATCTTTTGAATATTTAATTATTTCTTTTGTTTCTGGTTTATGTATTCGACTTAGTCTATTATATTCAATAATAGCTTTTTCACTGGCTATTATCGATGACGGATCATAATTAATTAAATACAATCCATCTAAAGATGTTACTCGCGACAATGCAACATAAACTTGGCCACAATTAAATATAGAGTTACCGATGTCCATAATAGCATTTTGCAAGCTTAATCCTTGGTTTTTATGAATAGTAATACCATAACTCAAAGATAATGGAAATTGTTTTCTAGTAACATACGCTCTATCCATCACCTCAAATTTAACACTTACTTTTTAAATTAAATATTCTGAACCTGATGGTAAAAGAAGTTTGATCTTTTCTACGTTATTAGTAAATGTATCTTGTACAACTCAAATTACTTTAGCTGTACCATTTACAAGACCCAAACTAGCATCAATATTACGTCGTATCATAACTTTTGCTCCAATTTTAATTGTGATTTGTTTTGAAAGCCCAGCTGTTCTAGAATTATCATCATCATTATTTGATAATACTTTTAATACTTTTTTTTTACATATGGAATGCAGTCAATTATATCTTCAGCAATTAATAATATTTCTTTCGAAACAATGCGGCTTAACATTGCATCATTGACGACATCACACATACGACAAGTAGGCAGTAAACAAACGGTGTCCGATGGCAAATTATTAATAAAATTACATAATTCGTTTAATCTGGATTCAAAGGAATCACATTTGAAAGAAATTTTTCCATTTTCAAGAATCTTATGATCAGATTTTGTTAATAAGCCGATACGAATTCTCGACAATAACTGACGATAAGAGTCATCTCCTTACCTCTCTCAAGCTAGCAGGACCAAATGAGCAGAATCGAATGGGGCCTATCGCACTTTTTAGTACCCATTTTGTACTACTTTGTACCCCAAAAAAAAATTTGTACCACGTGCCGGT